AAAAAAAAAAAAAAAAAAAAAAATGTTGAGACGGGGAAAGAAAAATCATAATACCAGTCATATTATAATAAATGATATTTTATAGCAGTCAATGGTTCATTTTGGTCGTATAGGCACAGAAGTGGACTTCAAACTTGGAATTTACCAAGGCTCAAAATTAGAATTCCTACATTAGTTACTCAATATGGATCATTGCAATTGATCTTAGGAAACTCAAGGCATAGATCTGCAACTTCTTTAAAATACTATTTGTTAACTGAAGAAACAAAATAATAGTTAATTTGAATTTTGTTTTTCATGCTTATACTCTTATCAAAATCAGTCTTTCCTTTGTGATTTAAAATCTGCCTGTTTGAACCATCTTCCTTAATTACCCTAAATACCCTAAATATAGGGTATTTATACTCTAAATACCCTATATTTACAGCATAAATGTATGCTCTAAACATTTGCCTAGAGCATACAGTGTTTGTCTCCTTTACTGCCTTAAACGCTGAAAATATATTCCATAAAATACATATAATAAAGAAATCACAGAAACATATACTTAGAAACTTAAATAGTAAAGATAACAATATGACATATAGTCCAAAGTCATATTGTTGAATTTTGTTTTTATCTTTTCTTAGCATCAGGAAAGAAAAAGATGCATGAGAGAATATTATCTCCACATTCTCCCTGGCAGTGAACAAAAAGGGCTAGAAGGCAGAGGACATAGAAATGTAAACAGAACCAATATATAATTGTTGAGTCCAGAGAATTTTAAAATCTAATCACAAAAGTAGTATTATATACTCTCATTTTTTTTTATCTTAGAAGAGAAAGTCATAGAATCATTTTTTTTCTTTTGCTGCTGTTGTTGTAAAAGGGGATTACCTGTTTTGATGTGCTACTTTTTATGACCATCAAATTCAATAACTCATAAGGTCAACCAACATACAATATGAAAATCAAGAAGTGCTGTTGTTCCCTCCTTTCTCCCTCAACTTAACACAAAAATACTAGAGAATGCATTTTAGTTTCTTCATCTTTGCATTTCTTTATAAGCCATGGTTAATGTACGTATGCCATATATAAATATTTTACACCATGGAAAATCTTATTTCCATAGAGATTTGGTTCAATGTTTCTAAATGTATCTGATGACTGAATTGTGTCCTTAGTAAAGAATCAATTATGGAAGGTAAATTTTAGCTTCATTAAACAGTATGCTAATTGTAATTGTATAATATCTGATGACACACAGAAGAAAAATCAATGAATTATTAATAAGGACTAATGATTTTATTCTATATTTTACTCCTTCAATCCTATACTTCCAAATGACAATTATAGGAATTGAAGAGGAAATTATTAGTCAAGTAGAATTGAAAATTCTAAATGTAGTTTGTACAAAGGTATCCACACTTTCAGAATATTGTCACCAGAGAATCCAGGGTCAACTAACAGGTTACCTGTCTTCATCACCATCATCACTGTTTTTTTGTCATTAACAAATTCTGTCTTTTAGTCTTATTGAAAGTATCTTTCTTAAAAACATACTGTATGTGAACATTATGTTAGGCGCTACAATTCTAGCTGTGCATAGAAAGCCATAGTCTCAGCCCTCATAGAGATTGCATTTCAGTAAAAGGGCCATATCATCAAATTAATAACTTGAGAATTTATTCTCTTACTATCATTTCTAATGAACACCACCAGAAAAACACATAAAGGGAGGATCGGATTCATTCAAGGTGTCAAAGAGTTTCTTTGAGAAAGTGGTATCTGAGGTCAACTATGAATTATGATTAGGACTTATCTGGGGTGAAGTGGGAAGAGCTCATCAGAAAAACACCCTATCAAAACATTAAGTCATGAAGGATCATGGCATTTTCATAGAGTGGAAGGAAGGACAGTACAGCAAGCCTAAGGGAAAGACTAAAAGAGGAAGCCGGTAAGAAAAATATCAACTGGTTAGGCTCTAGTAAGTATTTACTGTGTGACCAAAAGCTATGGGACTTACTCTGACATGCATAAAATATACAGAATGTATTATTCTACTGTCATAAAAAGAGGTGAAGTCAAAGTCCCCTTACCAATAAACCCCAAGTTAATAAAATAATTTCTAACAACTACGTCTCACATGGGCCTCATCATTGTAGTTATTTAATGAATTCTTTTCAACTTAATGGGACACCAACTTCAGCAAGTAATTACCTGCTCACTGTCCAAAACAACAAACCTGTTCGTAGTGTATATAATTTGAGTAATTATTTATAATTATTATTATATATAACTATTAATATTATTATGTATATATAATAACTTCTGTCATGAGGATTAATATATGAATCCATAATTGGGAAGGACAGCTGAGGAAGATGATGGAATAGTTCTCTTCAGGAATGGTCTCTGCCCATAGAAACATCAATTTAAATAAGTATCCATGCATGAAAATACCTTCAACATAGCTAAGAAAACCAGGTGAGAGATTATGGTACCTGATCATAGCATATTAATAAGAAAAGATGGACTGAAGAGAGTAGAAAGAAAGGATTTATATTACCTGCATTACCCACCCACCCCCACCAACCCCAGGCATATAGCACAGAGAGTTAGCATCTACTTGTGAGAAAGGTAAAGAAATAAGCATAGAATTTTGCCTTGATACCTAACATCAAAGTCAATCCAATCAAGACTATCCCAAGACATATTATAATAAAACTGTTAAAGATTAAAAACAAAGAGAGGATCCTGAAATCAAGAGAAAAGGAACAAACAACACATAAGGAAGTTTATGTACACCTAGCAGCAGACTTCTCAGCATAAAACTTACAGGTCAGGAGGAAGTGGAATGATTTAAAATACCGAAAGAAAAAATATTATCAAGCAAGGATATTGTACTCAACAAATCTGCCCTTCAGAAATGAAGAAGACATAAAAATTCCCAACCAAAGAAAAGCATATGATTTCCATTGATGCAGAAAAAACATTTGAAAAAATCAACATTCCTTCATTAAAAAAAAAATCTCTCAAAAAATTAGATATGGAAGGAATGCAGCTCAACACAGTAAACACCATATATGACAAATCTACATCTAATATTATACTAAAATGAGGAAATTGAAATGTTTTTCTCTAAGTCTAGAAACAAGAAAAGGACTCCCGACTTGCCTCTTCTATTCAACATAGCACTGGAAATCCTAGACAGAGTAATTAGGCCAGAGAAAGAGATAAAAGGCATCCAACTGAAAAGGAAGAAGTTAAATTATCTGTTCTTGTAGAAGATGTAATTTTATATGTAGAAAATCCTAAAAATTCCACCAAAAAACTATTACAACTAATAAACAAATTCAGTAATATTGCAGGATACATAATCAACATGCAAAATAATTAACAATTTTATACATGAAAGCAAACTATCTGAAAAAGAAATCAGTCTCATTTACAATAGCTAAAACATAAAAATGAAATGCTTAGAAATAACTTCAACGAAATAAATGAAAGTGCTACTGTAAAAGATAGAAAACATTGAAGAAAGAAATTGAAGAAGACAAAAATAAATGGAAAGATATCCCAGGTTTATGGAGTAAAAGAATAGATATAGTTAAAATGTCCATACCATCCAAAGTGATCTACAGATTTAATGCAATCTCTATCGAAATAGAAAAGTTATTCCTCACATAAACAGAAAAAACATCCCAAAATTCATAAGGAATCCCAAAAGACCTTCAATAGCCAAAGAAGTCTTGTACAAAAAGAACA